AAAGATTAAACGTAATTACAAAATACAAGTAAATTAATGTCTAACACATCTTTAAACAATCATAATTGAATAAAACTAAAAAAGCAAAACAAATATACTAATTAATTTACAAATAATAGAAATATATCTAGTCAATAAAAAAAAAGATTATTCTTGATTGTTAATCACTAATTTATAAATATGAATATAAATATAAACCAATATAATAGAATAAAACTAAAAGGGAAAACAAATATACTGATTACTCTATTTATTTGCGAAAGTTGAAACCATATGCTCATGATTTTACATCTATCTATGAAAAAAATTTATCAAAACTGTTAGAATATCTTTTCCTTTGTTAACCACTGGTGTCCAACACATTTTCCTATGGGTCTCTTGCAATGTTTCCTACGTATACATAATAAAAAAATCCAAAGCCAAGGGTGTACATGGACACCCTTGACACAAACATGGGTTCGCCCTTGGTTAGAAGTATTTGTTCCGTGAGTACTTACTTTGTATTTGTCTTGTATTTGTATCTCAAACGATTATGTAACCCATATTATACATAAAAAGTAAATTTTTATGATATATCTCTGTGTATTGTTTAATGTATTCAATATCTGCGATCGAACTTTCTAACATCGCACATCCCAACGTTTCTACTGTCGGCCGGAGGTGTGACACAAGGGGTGGTGCCTCGACCCAAAAAATAGTTTTGTTAAGGAAATTGTTTTAGAAAATATTATTTTCGGATAATATTTTGGGTTAATGTCATTTTAACCCAACGAACTTATCACATTTGTTTTAAAAGTTCACCTAATTTTTTTTTTGGTACTTTAAGGGAATGAAGTAGAATGTGATCAGTTGAAATCGTCCCTTGACCCTTTATAAGAGGTTTCGATGCCAAGTCAGACAAAAAGTTATGAGGTGGATGCCTACTCACTTTTGTTTGGTTTTTCTTAATTACTTTTAGTTCTTATTACTTATATGTTATTGTTATAATAATAACATAAGTTAAAACAAATTCAAAAAAAAGGAAAACTTAAACCTAATCATAGACAACCCATCTCCATCGACAACCAACCACCACCAGTATCTACTTCGCACCCCTCAAGCAAAAGAAATCATACCGACATGCTGCAACATCTCATCTCATCCCTACATATCACAACACATCACCATCTCTATTCTATTCTTGCCACCATTAACACCTACAAGAACCCTAACCTCACACCCATGTGAGCCGATCATGGGAAAACACTCAAGTGACAATGTGTTGATTAATCCTTACGATTTGGAAGATGATCTAAAGAAACCAAAGAATCCAGTTTTGATTCTGAAGACGCTTAGAATCGATGATCCCGATGAAGCCACTCACTACGATGTCGTCTTACAAATTCAATTTCTTCTTCATATCTTTCGATTTTGATCGTTAGGGTTTTACAGATTCGATTATTTCTCCATATCTTTCGATCATTAAGTTTTAGAAATCCGATTCATTGTTTTTTCGTCTCTATTTTCATTGGAGTTCGTGAGTGTAGATATGAGGTTTTCATCTTCACCAGACCATGGAACTTTTGATATGGTTTTTTTTTTTGGAAAATAGGATGATGGTGCTTTTGTGTTCTTGGTGTATCAGATCTAGATTTTTTTCGCTAGCTATAGGTTTTTACAGTTCAATCTTTGTTTTTAATGGATTACTTAGTTTAGTTTTGTCAGTAAAGGATATTTTCTCTGTAAATAGTTTTTCTAGTATAGTTTTTCTAATTCTAATTCGTTGTCTCATATTGGTGCCTTGATACGAAACTGTCCCTTGAAGGATTATCCCCATAATTTGGATTTCGTGTAACCCAAACATATGGTCGAAATATCATATTCGGAAAGTGATCACGTGATTCTTCAAGAAGATTCAGGATTCATATCGATTTCATAAACATTCTTTTCATCCTAACCCTAAGATGATGAATCCATTTTTGGTTGTATCGATTAAGGATTTCTACTCTTTAACAGATGATGAAGCCATTTTTGGTTGTATCGATTAAAGGTTTCTACTCTTTGTGTCGCCTGAGAAAATGGAATAAAGAAATCAAATTTGGTTTTACTTGGTGATTGAAGAGAGGTTTTTTTTATTACCGTTTAAAGGAGTAAGCCACATTGGATAATACGTGGAGTAAATTTCGCCACATCGACTGTTTCAAACCCACTAACAGACGCAACATGGTAAAAATATATGAGAAACTTACAAAAAAATCCAAGATTACAAAAATAGTCACTAAAATCGCATATGGATTAGGGCCCTCTGCGATTTTGCCTTCTCGTCTGCGAACATACAAGTTGTTAAAGCAGGCTCGTGTAGTGGGGAGTTGTACGTTCGCAGATGGACCTATCCATCTGTGAACATGGGAGACCATGGGAGACCATCTGTGATTTATTGCTCTTTCAGGGTATAAATACCTTAATGTTTTTTGGATCACTCATTTTTCTTGATTTTTGTTGGGGAAAAGTCTCTCGGACGGACTTTTCCAAGTGAAAAAATTTGTTGACGTACAATACAAAGGTACAACCTGAAGATGCATCAGATTTCAGTTTTATAACACAAATCATATTTATATCACAATTGTCTAACATAGTTATATAATATTTGCATCAAAAATCATTTGGCTACAAATATAAAGTATGAAAACCGAATGTACAACCTCACAAATGCAAATGTACAACTTCAAGATGCATCAGAAATTAGTTTTTTAACACAAATCATATTATTATCACATTTCTATAACATAGCTTCCTCCGAGAGATTTTTCCCCAACAAAAATCAAGAAAAATGAGTGCTCCAAAAAAAAATTAAGGTATTTATACCTTGAAAAAACTAAAACCGTATATGGTCTCATGTTCACAGATGGACAGTTCCATCTACAAACGTACAACTCGTTTATACATGGCACCGCTATAACATCTTGTACGTTCGCAGATGAGAAGACAAAATCGCAGGTGTCCCTAATCCATCTGCGATTTTAGTGGCTATTTTTGTAATCTATGGTTTTTTTTGCTATTTTCTACAAAGGGATAAAGAAAAATTACTATTTTTGTAATTTTCTCGAAATATATCTCTTCCCATTTTTAACATATAATTTAAAAGTTTAAACGTGTAGAATACAACAAATAAATAAATAAACAATGGATGACAAAATGAAATCAAAAGAAAATGTTTATTAAGAAACATTAACATCATCCAATAGAAAATTTTGTTGGTATCATTGACCCAAAAAATAACTCGCTTTAAGATCGAATGGTGTGGTGAAGGAAAAGAGTGAGGGAAAACTTCTCTCAGAACACCATATTGTGGGTGAGGGAAAAAAGTGAGGGGAGTTTATCTCCTATTCTCTCTCCTTATGTGATTGGTCATTATTATTTTTTTTCTTTTTCTAGTTTTTTTTTTAATATTTATTAAATTATATACCTACTAAAAAATTATAAAAATTATATCAAAATTCATGGTTTTTAATTCCTTACAAAATGAGTATAATATTATATAAAATATATTTATTTTTAAAAATAAAAAAATGAAAGATTCTTCCAATACACACCCTACATGTACATCCTGGGTTTTGGTGAGGAAATAAAAGTAAGGGAAAGACTGACGTGACAGACAAAAATTGAGGAATTATTCCTAAAGATAGACTGGGGTCTAATGGTAAAAATCATACTTTAAGGTTGATTATTAAATATTAATATTTGACCTCTCATTGGAGATGCCTTGATAGAATCTACGTGGTTAATAAGATTCATCCAAAAAAAATATTATTTTCAATAATAAACTCATTTTTGAGGTTGATTCTAAATCATTATATGTCAAAAGAAAAAAACTTTTTAGTTTTATATGTTAATTTTAAATAATTAACATTTCAAAAGATCATTTTTAAAGCATTTTCAATGGGAGGCTTTTTAAGAAATTTATCCAAAAAAAAAAACTATTATGAATTATGGACTTTTGATTTGGTATTAGAGTATTATGTATTTTAATTTAATGTATTGTAATATATTGAGATTGTTAAGTGTTATTAGCACTCTATAGTTTTATAAATATGACACATGTTTAAAAATAACGAATTAGATACAAAAGGTTTAACATATTTCACAAAAATAATTAGAAACTAGAAGATATCATATCAAACATAACATCTATTTTTTGTTATATAGTTTTAATAAATAAGGTTAATAGATTAAAAATAGATAAATGTATAAAACTAGAAGTAAATAAGAGCATCCCTCAAAAGTTTAATTGGAGAGTTAAATGATATGAACATTCTATTTGTCATTCAATTGATATGAAACTATATTATAACAATACATGTTATAAAAGAAAATTTATAAACTGGTTTTTATAATGTTTTATTGAACTTACAGAATTCAATGTATTATAAGAAAATTTTATGGAATTGTAAGGAATATATTATAATTTAATGTTAAATACATTCTATTCATCTAAAAGAGAATATATCAAATATTTATAGCCCAACAAATTTTCGATAATCAACATGGCTATATATACCTGAAATGGCACGTAGTCAGGCTTTACTCTCACTCATCTGCTTTTACTTCGGCTATACCGGTATCACCACACCTTTGGCGTGGAGTCAAAAATGGCAAGAATACCATTTTGGCTTAGAGTTTTCTCTCTGCTAAAAGTCTAAAAGAGTCTATACGTATTCCTTTTTCCCTGTATTTTTGCCATTTTTGACACAAAGTCCAGTGGATTAAAGTCAGTGCGACCCACTTGTATCGCTTGTCGCCATCCCTCAGTCTTTACAGTCTCCCCGACTTTCCCTCGTTGTCCATTGTGCTCTTAAAGCTTGCTCTCCACGCCGGAGACAGCTGTCCGCCATTATCACCTCCTCTCCCTCCAGCCGCCGGTATATTCTAAGTCCGTCCTTTTCGGCCATTTCAGTCGATCATACATCCACAGAAGCCAACAAAAAGAACCCATCTAGGGAAGACCCAGGCGTTACACAACAATGGCCAACAAAGATGATAATCAATCCACTAATGAAGCTGTAAGATCAACTCGTCGAATGAAAATAAAGTTGGATCATGTTAAAACGGAAGATCCAGAACCTGATCCCATCGAGAATTCAAGTAAAAGGAGAAGGACAGCTTCAGTTGATGATCCTCATGGAAATGAAGGAATGTGGCGGGGGAATGTTGTGGGACCAGAGGCAAAAGAGCTGCTACAGGCTGTTGAGAAGCAGTACCCCAACACATTTCAAGGGGTCCAAATTCGTGCAAAGCCTATTTGGTTGAACATTTTGAAAGAACTTCATCTGGGCATCAAAAGTTTCATGGAAACATCCGTGGATGAACTGGTGGAGGAGAAGATAACCGGTTTTCAAGAAGATTTTGAAGAATTCGAGAAGTTTGGATTTGATCTCTCGTGGGCCCGAAAGAGGTTAGACATGGTTGACAGGCTGAAATTCGGAAAAGAGCCTTTGCAAAATGAGTTGAATGCCTTAGAAGAATCGTTAGAGCCATTGAAGGAAAGGATTAAAAGGCATTTGAAACAGATTATGGAAGCTCATGATATGTGGAAGAAGGCACAATTAGAGTATGATAATGTTAAAGATGCTCGAGACAAGAAAGCACAAGAGGTGGAATTGAAGTTTGGAGCTGAATATGATCGAGTATTGAAGGGTCATCTTGGTTTTGGTATGTTGCCAGGGTACTAGCTTACTTTTTTTTGTTTCACTGTAGTAGCAAATTAGATGAATCCAAAATGTAAATTATTACTTTATTTGTTTTGCAAAACCTAACTTACATATTGGAAATGAAGATTTGAAAAACACCTACCCTAGGTACTGTAATTCTTCAGCATAGCTTTGGAAAGAAGCTCCACAGAATTTGATGATGTTATGCTAACTCAAATTTGATTCAATAGCTTGATGACCCTTTGTTCATTCAGGCTTTAGCTTGGTTTTTTAAGGCTTTCAGAAAGATTCAAATATATAGCTTGAAAATATCCATAAAAAGTTTTGGTTATAAAGCATCCTCGATTCAAGAGCATGAATGGCTCAAAATTATCAAACTATGTTAGATCAAGTACGTTGGATTTAAACCCGGCACAAACTTCTGAAACATACATAATGCTCAAAGAGATGATGAGGATCAGAGTTGAACTTTTATATAGTTGAGCATGATTCTGTTAGGAACCGGACCGGGTACACGCAGCGGAAACACACTATCACACACACACAAACTCACGAAAATAAAGCAAGAATAACACAAGGATTTTACGTGGTTCGGATTCGGTGCAAATCCTACGTCCACGGGCTGCAACTAGAGAATTTTATTAAAACTCACAAGATTATAATTGGCTTGACACTCTACACTTGATGTTCTCTCAAGTTTTTGCACACAAAATATGCAAAACATACATGCAT